CACCCCGACCTGTCCGCCGCCTTCCCAGCCCAGGCACCCGCTCCGGAAGCGTCCTCATTTGCCCTGCGTCGCTCGAGGACACCGGCGCCCGGGATGAGCCCAGTGGCGTGATAATTAATGGAATACAATATTTATGGTCCGACGTATTGACTCGGAGGCTAGCGCGTCGTGCAGACAGGCCGTGGGGGTCTGACAAACAGGGGGTGAGTGCACAAACATAATGACTGGAGTACTTAGGTCTATCCGGTTTACTCACTTAAATCCGAGGTATGTAACATCGTGATAAATATTAATATCCACCTAGATGGCCCCACAGCACCGGCGCTCTCCTAAGCTCGCCCTTCCTGAGCGCTGCCCTTTACCCAAAATAAATAAATAAAAAGCCAGAGAGGAGGGTTTTAACATAAAATGCTGCAAATATGAAAAATAGGTCACCAATAAAATTGGTCTCAGCATGGAGCGTAATTGCAACAAAGTGCCGCCGAGTAAAACCGAGGAGCTAGCTGGCTGAGGCAGCACAGTCGCGAACCATCTGGTGTGTATTAAAAGTGGTGCTGTAAATATTGCTGAGAGCTAATGCATTATCGGCTTCTATAAGTGCAGAGGGCCTGTAAGCTTTCCATATGTTAGAATATGTAGATCGAGTGAGGCTAGAGAAAGGTGCCTTATCAATCAATCACTGCTTCTAAAGCATTGTATTGCCCATTCTGTGAAATTTTGGCCAAGAAAAAAAACAGTGTAGGATTATTCATTACCATTCTCTACCCCCCCCCCCTTCCCTCTTTTCTCAGTTCGATCTTTCTCTCTAGCTCTTTCTCCCTGCCCCCTTCTTCTCCACCCCCTCCCCACTCCTCCTCTCTCTTTTTTCTCCAAAGGGGATAGGGCAGGCCTTGCTGACGTCACTTCACATCAGTAAAAGAGAGTAACTGTTTCAGAGAGAGAGACAAAAAAAAATTCATCTGTTTTTCATCAGTGCTAAAGTTTTGCCTCTTTAATAGAAATGAGTTGCCCAGCCGGAGTACTCCTTCTGTTTTGAAGCTCTTCACGCCCCTTTCCCCCCAGAGGAGGAGGGTCGAGAGGTTGGGGAGGTGTTCATCCTTTGAGCTGAATCATCCTCCGAGTAGTTCTAAGGCCAAAATCTGCTCCAAATAGATGAAACCAATTAAAATAAGGTGCAAAGATGATTTCTTCTAGAGAAGATTTCACGTCCACATCTCTTAGGGCAACTTTGGCCAAGGAGGGAGGTGGGGTTCCTGGCCCCCTGACACTTCTGCTTGGAGTCCTGGACCTTCTTCCTTTCTTGCCCATTCTCTCTCCACAATTCCACCCCCCACAGACCCAAACCACCACACACAGCACAGCTAATAATTTTCTCGCTGTCACATTACTTTTCGGGAGAAAACAGCTACAGTCCTCTTTTTCCTGATGATACCCCACATTTAAGAGTTTACTATAATTACCCCCTCATCTCCTCTGACACCCCCCCCCATACTTCTCAGTTGCAAGCTTTGACTCAAACCCAGTGTTAGGAACTGTCCCCACATTGTCCCACAATCATTTGCACTCCCCCAAAGTTGGCCTGATCTCATTTCATTCTTCCTATTCCCTGTCATCCTCCCTTCTCCTTCCTGCCCCCCACCAATGTCCCCAGCCTGTGCGCACACACAGTACCAGCCCCCAGCACTTGCAGTGTGGATAAACCTGCTGGTCATGACAACCCAAGTTCAATCAGCAAATAAATAAAACTCTTACTTTTTTTTGGCTGCCGGTTGCATTCCCCCTCTGGCTGCTGCCTCCTTTAATTATAGGAGCTATATTTCTTCCTTGGGAGACATTCGAGGGGATTTTTAGTTGGAAACTTGTTTCTGCTGAGTTATTTTGGAGCCAGGACCAGTGAGTGAGTGGCCCGTACCCAGAGGCTTTGAGTGAAGTGCAGATTGAGACATATCGAGTTGCCTCTAAAAGGATCATTTCATGTGGGAGGTTGGACACAAAGTTTGTACTCGTGACTGGCATTCCAGTGAGAGACATGCATATTTTAAAACAACAAAGCAAGCTGGAATGAAGGGGAGGGGGGGAACTTGGAAAGAAGTTACTAAGTGACAAACATCTGTCAACATGGGATAATTTGTAGACTCAGATGTAAAACTATCTGCCTAGTTTGATGGAGTTCAAGGAGCAGGATCTGGAAGAGCCAAGTGGCTATACCTTTGTCCCTGTAAGAGACGATGGAAAGACACTTTCCCCTCAAAGGGGTGTAATGAAATTAAAACTCCATGAACAAGTGTAATTTTAAAAAATGTTTCTTAGCATAGTGATGGCCTCTAAATTGCATACTTCTGGTGGTGAATGAAAAAGGACGTCCAATTTCATTTCAGAGACATTTTATTCTTTAAAAAATAAGCAAAGAAAGCAGTAGAGTAATAATCAGAACAATTCTTTAAAAAAAATAAAATGAAGTGCATCTCATAACAAAAAAAACAAGCAGGAAGAGAGAGAGAGAAACATAAAAAGCCCAAACAACCCTTAGTTACTATGTTCTGGAAATCTTGAACTAAAAGCACTTGTTTCATATGTGTGTATCTGAGCCAAACACATCCACATCCACCTCTTCACGTCAACAAAGTGGAAAAAATGGCAAAATATCTGTAGAGAATCTTCTCTCTTAACTTAAGCTTAGAGCTGTAACAAGCTTATTACACTCTGAGGGAGAAAAAGCAACAACAAAAAAGAAGTTCCCTCTCCAGGAGGGAAGTTTGAAAACGCAGAGTGAACGATGAGGCAAGATCCTGGTACATCTTTTTCTTTTCTTTTTTTAAAGCTCGGAATCTACACCCACCACATGGAAGTTTGGACTCAGCTTCCACGGAGCAATCTTTTTCTCCTCCAGCTCTGAAGACAAAAGGAGAGGCGGCCCGGCGGTGAGCGGGATATCTCTGTTAGTTGTCAGCGCAGGTCCATGGGTTAGGAATGCTAATGAGCCTCCCGGCCAGCTGAAGACGTGGTGCTTCCCCCGCGCACCCCGACGCTCACACGCTCTCGGGCTCCCGCGAGCGCCTGACAAACGCACAGACAGAGCCTCCCGCTTGACTCTCGTCTCTCTCCTTTTTCCTCCGAGTCCAAAGATCGATCGCTGACCCCACCGTTCGGCCAACGCTTTATTTATCTGGCTGCGCGATGATATTATCAGCCTTAAACGTTATATACAGCAAATGTCTTCCTAAATCAACACAATAGGATAGCTTGCAAAGACCAGCCTGGTGTTTCTTAAAAGAAATCGCTCGCTGTCTCTCTCTCTTCCCTCGCCCTCCCCTGCCCCCCTTTACAACTGGGGGTATTTGATACGCTGGACTTAGGGATTTGATCGCTTGCTTTCAGCTGGGTTAGGGAAGGCCTTAGCAGACAAGGAGATGGAAAGACACCATTATCCAGCCATCACCGAGATCCCCATCAGGGGTGCCCTTGTCAGCCGGATCCAACTGCCTAGACCCATTCTATTCACAGAATCCGGATTTCTCAAAATTGGGGTGGAGGGAAAGGTGGAGAAGCGAGTGTGCAACCTTGCACGGTGTTAATTGTTTTCTTTCCTCTCAATTACATTCATAAACCTATTTTCTGCATTGCATGCTATTTCTTTGTGTTTCAAAATTGAAACCACGTGCAGCCTTCTCTCCTACACACACACACACACACACACACACACACACACTAAATGCTCTGCTCCCTCCCCCAACCCATCACAGGACTATTTACATCTTGGTTACTCACTCCTCCACGCTCAGGGGCCCCTGGTGCAGAAATTGGTCCCGGGGAACTAGATAAGGTTTTGTGACAGCATCTCTCAAATCCTTACCTCGGATCCCCAACTCTGAGAGAGGCCCCAGGATTCACCTAACAGTTTCCCCCTCCCCTGCCTCCTTGCCCAGGTGGTTGAGGTTTCCACTGGGAGAGCTGGCTGGGGGACACCAGGGAGAAAGCAGCTGTCACTGCCCAGCCAGGCCCACCCGCCACTGGGCCCACACCCTGACTAGCTGGCCAGCCAGGGTTGGCTGTGACCCGCCCCAGGAGGCAGCCGGTCCGCACAGAGAGGGCAGCCGCTCCCCAGAGAGCGGCCCCTCCCGGGCAAAGAAGTCCCACCATAAATAAATAAACTCCAAAGGGAGAGGGGGAGCTGGAAAATGGATTCGCTGACAAGGAGAGATAATAAATGAGAGGCGCTTTCAGATAGATATCTCAGACGTGAAATTGCGCCCAGCTGGTTATGTAAGCAAACAAATAAGTTTCATGTTAGGAACTCTCAACTTGTGACTTGATGAATAGAACACGACAGAGGTAAATGGGTCTTTAACTCATTTAGGAATACAACTCGTTGGCTTCCCAAGTAAAAGGCCCAACTACACCACAGATCCTGAGCAGGTCATTTTACAAGAGTTTTATTAGTTGCCGCTTGTGTCCCCCTTCACTCCCTCCTCCCAGGGGAAGGCACTTGCCAAGACATTCAGGAGTTTGGTTCTGAGGCCTGGGGGAGGGGGGTGTCAACCTGACACTATGACTCTATAAGGATTACCTACAAGGAGGTGAAGAGACATTGAAAGGCAAACTTTTTGCACGTGTCAAGGGAAAGAGCTCAGGGGGACTGAGCCCCAGGATCCCTGAGGGCAACCCTGGGCAGTGGTATCTCCCTGGAGCACACCAACAGGCTTTTGCCTTTGGGAGCTTGTAGTCACAAGCTGTGAACATGGGCCAAAGGGAGGGGTGGAATCCTCAAAGCCCTAGGCTGTCTAGTGACTTCAGAGACCTTGAGCTCAGTCTTGGGAGCCTGGTTCCAGGTTGGGATAGTCGGGTGAGGAGCAAAGGTCATATTTTTCTCCCCTTTCCCAGGCAGGGGCAGATAAGGCACAAGTCTCTCAGTCTTCTCACCCTATCCCACCCCACCCCACCCCACCCCCTTCTGGAGATGGTTTTTCTAAGGTTTTCCATAATGCTTCTCTGGCTAAAGTAGTTTAATCGACTTCAAAGTTCCTAAAGTTCTCAGTCACCCAGCAAGTGTTTGGGTTAGAAAAGGGAACATGTGGCTTTGTGTGTCAGGGGTACTTTTGAGTGGGAAGTCACAGTGTGTGGGCTGCTGACCATGTGACTCCTCTGGCCCCAGGGGTCCCTTGGTTCTACCTTGCCCTATTAGCCCAGCCCTCCCCTCCAGGCTCCTTAGTACAAGGACGGCCCTTTTGGGGTGGAGGGTGGTGGGGAGCAGGGAAAGCAACTAGCTGCCCTACACCTGTCAGTGGCCTGGTACCCAGGTTCCACGGCTCCCCCTGGTGCCCAGCAGGAAGGTGAGCTCCCTGCGCCTGTCCTCTGGCTGCCACCCAGGGCACACACACCTCCCATCAGCTTCACCTTCATGTTGGCCCAGGGGTCTGTGCCTGTTGTCTTTCAGGGTCTAGGGAGACACAGGAGTTCTTGAACATGATGGGGGGTGGGGGTGGAGAAGGGGTCTGCCTGGTCACCCCTGCTTGTTCCTTTCCCTGCTCATATGTGGCCACTGATCAGTCAGGAATGGGGAGCCTTAGGATAGCCAGAGCAGTTGTTGGAAGGCACAACCCACTACATAGAGGAGGCGAGAGGCCTCCTACACCTTCCCTTGGCGCTCGTGGGCTGGATCTTGACTGGGCCCTAGGAACTCCATCAGCCACCAGGAGCGCTTAGCTGATCCTTCCCAGTGTAGACACTAGACTCAACCCCAGGTTGCTTGAAGGCCCTGCCTCTCTAAATGAGACCCACAGAGGCCACTGGATGGTGGAGGCAGACCATCTCTGTGTAATGCAGTTGGATGTTCTCCATCCATCGGAGGAGGCCACAGAGAGGAGGAACCCACCACCACGGTCCCCCAGAGGGAGGCCCAGAGCGCAGGTGGTGAGAGCCCCCTCTCAGCCCTTGGGCCTCTTGGTTCCAAGCAGAGTTGCCAAGGGAGTCTACTGGGCCTTAGGAGGGTCAGGGCTTTTTCCTGAACTTTGTGGGCTGGTTGTGGACTTGGGCCCAGGTTCAGAAAGGAATCTTCAGGGGCCATCAGTGGTTTGGGACTGTCCTGTCGTGACAAGGGTCAAGATGCCACTGCCACCCCCAAGTGCCACAAACTAGTCTCTAATACTCATCGCCTCGCCCTTTTCTCAGGGCTTCATATTGAAATTAATTGGAAAATATGTTTCCGACCTATGAAAATGTTTATCTGTTTTCATCAGAGGGATCACACTGTAATGAATATATTTACATCTCATTTGAAGAAGCACAGGAAAGAACGATGTGCGCTTCTAAGCAGCTTGGCCGCCCCTCCCCCAACACAGCCCTGCTTCCCTGCCCCAGCCCAGCCCAACCCAAGCCCATACTCTTCCACCTGGCCCCTGACCAGGAGAATACTCCCAGAGACTTGCTGAGAGAAGGGCAGGGGCTAAGGACTAGCTCTCCTACCCCACCTCTTGCCAGGGGTCAACGGTGAGCTCTCTAAACCCTCCCACCTCTGCTGGCAGAGAAGTCAGACTGAGCCTGCAGATGACAGTGCAAAGGATATGGTTTGAGGTGGGTTGGGTGGGACAGGGTGGAGGGCAAGAGAGGCTCTGCACCCCAACACCTTCTCTGACTCTCAGCCTAGGTCTCCAGTCCCTCCCCTGCCCTGGTAGACAGGCGATGGGTGATGAACCAGCAGGGGTTCTCCATAAGGAGTAGCACTGCCCTACCATGCTGACCTTCCCCAGAATATTAACCCTCTCAAGCAGGCTAGCATGGTAAAACAAACAAACAAACCTGGAGACTCACAGACAGCAAGTTGAACACAAAGTATCTTTAGTGATGTTGGTAAATGAGGCCCTTACCCCATCAGGGTCTGCTTAGGGTTGGGGAAGGGAGAGGTGAGAGGTGTTATTTTTAAAGATCAGGCTTTATTAATACATTCAGAAAGAGCTCCCTTGGCAGCATGTGTTCTCAAAGCTCCGGCTCCAGTCCTATAAAACATTCATGCTTGGAAAGCTCATACAGAGTGCTGTACTGCCCCCACTCCCTTTCCACACACCCAACAAGAGGCCTCTGGGGGTAGACTTATGCCTTCAAAGGTTCACTAGGGTCCAAATTCCACTTCGGAGAACAACCAGCTCCAATGCAGATTCCCTGAGTCCCAAATTCATGTCCTACACCCCGAGGTCCCCTGGGTGGAGTAAGGGCTTCCATTCACCAAGCAATGCTCCAGAGTCCTCCAGGGAACCCTTGTCACACAACCTGGCGGGGACAGGCAAACAACAGCCCATGCAGGGGAGTGAAGCCAGGTCTCCAGACACTGAGCCTCCTACTCTCCCAGGTCAGCAAGAGGCAGGACCTTCCAACCACTGACATCCAGGGACACACCATGAGGAGGTCTGAAAGAACCTCTGGTACCTTCCATACCTGTCCCTCTGCGTCTTTCTCCAGCCTCAGTGGAGGTCTGGTGTGGCCCCACCTTCAGCAAGACACAGGGTGCCCCTCTAATAAAGATGGGGCTATCTCCTGCATGTGCTGGTGGAAACTCATCCCCCTGCTCTCTACAGGACCTGCCCAAGTCCAGGGCTCACAGTCTCAAGAGTGCCCAGGTTTCCTTGCCTTCCCGCCGGCTGACCACTTATCCTGCCCATGTAGACGGGACCCCGCACATTTACAAAACCACGGCCCTGTAGCTCAATTTTATAAAATGAGTCTCAGACAACTTGACTATGGACTTAAAAGTTATCTCAGCCCCCCCAACTTGAAAAAAAAATCACTCTGATGGGAATTAAGGTAGAAACTAATTGAGGGAGTTCTTTTACACTGATGACACCTGTCAAGCAAGCAGACACGTGGGTTTTGCTAAATTCTTTTATTTTTGTTTAAATTTTCACTTCAATTTTAATTCTTGAAGAACAGCCTCGACAACATATATCGCACTCATTATAAGAAGCAAAGGGTTATATCAAAAATTATTAGTATAGAATCACAGGAAATCTGGTTTGGAACCAGAAAAAAATACAAAACAGATATAGATACATAGACACAGGACAATTTTTTAATAATTATTTGGAAAATGTTATTTTCCCCTAATTCTTGTTTCCTTTTTTCCGTTATGCGCATACAATGTTTAAATTTTACAAAAAATGAAAATAAAGGCTAATATTTTACAAAATGAATAACAATGTTTGGGGTGTGTGTGTGTGTGTGTGTGTGTTTCTACGTAGGATTTAGTCCACTTCCGTGTGTGTGTGGTTTTCTGTACAGAATATATCCACATCCGTCCACAATAAATTCTGGAAGGTCCATTAGTCACCTGTTTTATTCAAATTCTCATGGTCCTGTCTTCCAATTTATTTATTTTTTCTCACCAGACACAAGATCCTTTTGCTTTCCTTTCCAACGTGCTCACAGGTCTGATCCTAAACGAGTCTCTTTTCCCCCTGGGTTGCAGTTGGGGTCGCATTTCTGCAGGGTGGGCTGCTCCTGACTCAGTCAGTCCTCCTCCCCCCACGCCCCTCTTGCCAGCCTGGCCTGCCAGCCAGGCCGCACCCAAATCAGTGGACTGGGTGTCTCCGTGGCCTTGGAGTCTTTGCCCCAGGCTGGTCCTCTGAGTCTTTAGGAGGGCGGGGGCAGGTGGGAAGCGCCCGAGGTCTAGGAGCACTGGATGGACATGTAAGGCCAGTTGAAGCTGCTCCCAGACAGTAACATATCGCGGATGAGAGTTTCGATGGGGGTTTTACCTACCAAACGGACGAAGAAGAGCTGCTCGATGACTGAGGAGGATACGGTGCGCAGCGAGGGCAATCGCAGCAGCAGTTTGCCGAAGCGGCTCGGCTGGTTGGGGTACTGGCTCCTCACGTACTCCTCCAGGGCGCACTGCGACTTCTCTTGCAGGCTCTCGATGTGGGCGGCATCCGACAGGCCACAGGCGTCTGCCCGAGCAGCCAAGCGAGGGAGAAGAGACGGAGGAAGGGCACACAGTTAGGTCGGAGAGAAGCAGGGGCCAAAGAGCGCGCGTGCGCACACACCTGCACACACACATACACACACACACCATTCCTCCCCCAACCCCTAGTGCAAATAAAAATAAATCAAACCCCCACCAAGCCTAAGGGATCTAGAGATAGAAGCGAGAGCGCGGGCACACACACACACACACACACACACACACACACACAGCGCAGAGGCAGCCACCTCTCCAGTGCCTTTGTTTTTCCTCTTTCATCTTTGGATTAAATAATGTACGACAAGGCTGGAGCTGCAAGTGCTGTGGGAGTCAACCTGTCCTCAGCTTGCAGGGAAGCACCTTTCTGGCTGTGCTCATTCAAGGGGAGACTTTTACCCCCCTTGCCCGATTTCTGGGTGTTGGGGAGCCCTAAAGAAACAAGCAGCCTGTAGGCAGCTAAAGGTTTCTTGGAGTCCCCTCTCCAGCTCCAAAGCCTTTAACCGGAAATGTCAAGGAGAATTTAGGATGTGTAATGACAAATGCATGGAAGGGGGTAAGGGGTCCAGCTGGCAGCACCCAGGGACTCAGATCAAGCCCCTGTTGAGGATTGGGGATCCACTATCTACACAAGCAGGGACTCAGCAGCACATCCTCAGTGAGGATGGGTGTACACTGCTATCTGGGCCTCAGATCAAGTCATTGAAAATTGGTCACATCTCTGTAAGCTGTATAACAATCAGGAAGAATACGGCTCAGTTCCTCCAGGCTGGGGAAAGGAGACATCCACAGCGACCAGACACCAAGCTGGGCTCCAGGCAGCTGCTTCACAGTTTGGGTAGTGGCATGATGGTGGTGGGGTGTGTGTGAGAGACTACAGGGAGAGAGCCTTCCTGGGGCAAAAAGGCACCACCACTCAAGGTATCTCAAAAACGGTGTATCTACCTCCCATCAACCAAGGCCCTTCTTGGTCCTCTAAACATGATATTAGATCAACTAAACTGGAGGCAGGGAAATGAAGGGGGAAAGTGGAATCAGAAAAAAATGGAACGCAGGCTTTCTTTCCTAGTTCAAATACCCATGTTGTTTCTTATACTATTAATAAATATTTTAAAAACAGGAGGATCACAGAAGAGCCCTTAGCCAGTCAGGAGGTTGATTAGAGATCAAAGACAGAGTTTGCTAATATACAGATCTGGGGAGAAATACATGCATGGTAATGCCCCCAAAAGGACACTGTGTAGTTGTGAATGGGCAAGTGTGACCTTAAGAAGACCCAACAAATGATTCAAAGGGCTGAGTTTTGAAGCTTTACATCGTTATGTTTCAAGAACGGGGGATTTACAAAGCACTCTATAACACCTTCATCTACAAGGCTATGGCCTCAAGTGAAAACACAAATAAAACTAGCGATAATTCAAGAACTTCTGAGGGAAGAAGTCCCCTTTAACCCCAGGCCCAGACTGGGCTCCTCTCAGATGTCTAATTACTCCAGCCAGCTGCTGGGGCACATCCACACTGGCCTAGGTGGGGAAGCCAGTGAGGTTTTCCGGCTGGCTCTCAGGAGCAGTACAGAAGCACTTTAGCGTTTCCACTGCTTAGAGAGGAAACCCTGGGGTTTACCTTTGGCCCTGCTGCTAACCTGACCCTGCTGAAGGGCTACCATGCAGATCTATATTTACACACACTTTGCTCTACAGGCCTTGTTTCCCCATTACACCACCAGATCCCTGCCTTCTGGTTTCATAAAATACAATATAAAAAGGCCCGAAACCCCATGTGCCATCTCCTTCAGGTCAGTGAAATATTTATCAGCTATTTAGGATAGGGCTACTAGAGGGTACTCTACTCCTGGATAGGTCCCTCCAAGGTAAGGGAGTCCAGGAAAGGCAAGTTTGGGCCCTGCAGTGCTGACTGCTTCCATGTTCTTGCCTTCTTCAGGAGAGGAATGCCTAGAGCTGGGTCAAGCTTCCAGGTGTTTAGCAGCCAGCTCTCAGGCCTCCCTCTGTTAGGCCCTTGTTCTGGCCTGGCATTCCACTCTAGAAAGTCACTCATCCCCTCCCATTGCAATGGGGTTCTCCCAACTTTGGAAGCTGGTCTGGCTCTCCTATCACTTGGGGGGCTGTGGGGGCAGAGCGAGGTGTCCAGGGGGTGTCCAGCAGCACACACTTGTACTCCCTGAGTTATACCCCAGATAAGGAAGCAGAACGTGCAAAATCTGTGTCCCACATTTTATTATATAGTAGTGTCAATGTGGGGGCCTTCAATATTTCTTCTACATTGTATGGAAAAGAAACTATGTAAATAAATAACCATTACTGCTCTGGTCCTCCCAGCTTAGCCTTTGTAGTGTGGAGAATGTATTTCATGTTGTGCGTTCAGAAGAGTTTAGTGTTCAGGAAATATAGATGTAATCAGCTGCCATAACTAGAAATCAAAGTTATTATTGCACTAGAAATGGATTTATTGTATTTACGTTAACTAGATGGCTCCTTTCATGGAAGGTCTCATTTATTTGAAAGAATATTTAGGTGTATGAATTAATGACTTTAAAAAAAAGTAAGTTCAGGTCACGACCTCGTCCTTGGATGCAGTCCAAAATATTAAGGATTAAACATACCATCCGGAGGCCAAATGTAAAAACCACCATGGGGGACCCCTGTGACAGCTTCAAATACTTAGCCAGAGCAAACCACGTTGGACAATATGTCTAAAACGGTCTTTTCCATCACTCAAAGTTTGCTTAAAAGTTGGATGACTTTGAGAAGGCTTCCCATGAATTCCCTTCTGGATAGCAATCAAAACAAGTTTAGTCAAAAGTGGAAATGTGTTGTATGGAGGAGAGGGGCGAATTACTACTGACAGCTATATTTCCACTTGCAGATATTCTGCTTGCAATTTCCCAGCAAAATAATGTTATTGTTCACTCTGAGACACCCCTGCACCCTGATGGTTTGGTTCAGGCAAGTTCTTTGGAAAACTGCACTTAAAGGAACATTTTTCACAGGGGTGTTTTAGAATGGAAAGTTGAAAGAAAGGCATTCATAATTCCACAATCTTCTCTACAGCCTGCATAGTCCTTGCCTCTCTCTGGGAAAGGGCAGGAGATCAGAAAAGTCAAGGGGGTTCAAAGAACCTCAAGCAGGACCCAGGAAAGGGAGGAAACCTCTGCCCAGTTCCAAGTACCATTTCTGCTTCAGGACTCTGCTGGACGCCACTGAAAACCCCAGCTTTCCTGACACTGGCCTGCTTCCTGATGAATTTGGCTAAAGAGTCCGGGAGAGGAGAAGGAGCCAGGCTCCAGCCTGCCAGCGCTTACAGCAGTCTGGTCGCTGCTTCCCAGACTCTTTGTCACTTTTGGAAAACACATTTCCATCAAGAAGACTTATTAAGATAAAATGCATTCAAACACCGAGGAGGGTATTCAATAAATCTTCCATTTGTTTTAAGGTTCGCACTTTATCCTCTTGCAAAGACAAACTCCCTCTCCTACTAGGCGGACCTGCATTTGCACTGCAAGTAAAAGGGGGGGCAGTCCAAGTCCATGGCTCTGGCCACCCTGCATACCAATGAGGTGCTCCTGTCTAAATAAATTATCTGCTGTTCAGATCGATATTAATACTACATTTGCTACATTACAATATTGTGCAAATTTAAGAGTCATTTTAATACAATGTAAATACGATTCTTCACGCATGAAAGCCAGGAAATATTGATAGATTATACTGCTGCTCACTGCTCCACAAGGCCTTGGGAAAGGGGTTTTGCCATCTTTGCCCAAGAATGGTTTTAATTTGGCCTTTGGAGGGCCTGGCTCTAGGATGGATTTATTAGGGTGGTTTATTTGTTCACCGAACAGAGGAATTAAAAACAATAGTGCAAATAATGATGGTAAAACTGCAGCTAACACCACTCACTGTGAGCAGCGCCCAAGAAAGACTGAATCTGAGCTTCACTGCTCCCAACCGAGGCCTTTCTGGCTTTGTTTATATTTCCCCCATTACCTGCTGTCCCTGGTGTTTATATGTTTCCCCCTTGCAGGTTACAATAATAAAAGGCGGGCAGTGTTCTCAGAGGCTCAGACCAGAGCCCTTCAAAGGCAACGTTTAATGCACTTTCCTGGAAGTTAATTTGAACCATCTATCATAAGAGAAATTGTTAACATGCATGTTACCACCGCCTACACTTAATTTGATATTTTTAAGGCAATCTGTTCAATTTCCAATATTTGGGTGTTTTACATAGCTGTGAGATTTATCTCCAGGTCGGGGAATCCTGTCATCCTTGCAGGCCCTGCAGGATTGCTTTTGCTTTTTATCTTTCTTGTTGCGATCGAATCCGGTTTTTTACGACCCTCAATAACCTCAGCCACTGCAAACGTGAATGGTTTCCGATCAGGGAAAATCAGACAGCAATAAAGCGGGCTTATTTATGATTTATTTGTGCGTATCCTTCTCTTCCCACCACTCGCCTGTGTGTTGGGAAACTCATCCCGGGAGCGTGCCTCACCGAGGAGAAAGCCACATTCCCACGTTCTCTTGCTTCCCTC